AATATTAATTAAAAAATAAATTTTTAAATATATTCTTAAAAAATTTTAAGAATGTGATCTATAAAATATTTTTATTTTTAATATAATAGTTGAATAGTCATTTTATATACTTTTTTTTTTTGTTGTCGTTAAATTGTCATTAATCACACCTAAAATGCTATTGAAAAACCTAATCCAAGGGGAATAGGATCGTAAACATGTTGCCAATCTTTTTGCTTAATAAAGTAAGCCAGTGACAAGTTGAGAATCCATATCTTTGCCCTAAATAAATATGGTGATGCTATAAAGATAATTTTTTTGTCTCATTTTTTTATATAATTTTCACATATCATTAAATAAATAGATACATTCAATATCACGAATCTTACATGAATTAAAAAAATCAATTATTTTAATGATATATTAAGTTATATAAAAAAATAAGATAAAATAGTTATCCCAATAACATTTTTCAAATAAATAAATATACAGTGAAACACAAAGCAACCATTTACCAAAAAAGAAGAAAGAAATACAAAGCAATCAACATTCAGCCCAAGAATTTTCTGGGCTGGCCCAGTTGAAGAACCAAAAACTTGTCTGGTCCATTACACTTCTTACTCTTTCACAAATTCTTTACATATCTCAATGAAACCAGCCAACCGGCATAGGTTTATTTCATGGATATTAAGATGCCTAATAGAACAAATCTGTTTCGGCAGCTTCGCAGTCCAACATTGTTGAAGTCCTCAGCTGCTTCTACACCTGAAAATCTCGAGGTTGTTTCCTCGGGGAAAACACTCCGACACTCAAGTCAGCAATACTCAATATTCTAGAGAGAGATGCTCTCAAGGAGTAATTGCAGAGAGAGAAGCGTAGAGATTAATCACCTTCATCGGAGGTAGTTGGGGGGTATTTATAGCCCCTTGGTGCTGACATACATCTACACGTATAAGCAGCCCATTGGCCCACGTGGTGCTGGTCACGTGGGTATGCTTGTACCGATGCTCCTTTAACTTGGGCTAATAGATGGTACTCTAGGCCCGTTATGCATAGTCCTGTTTGGGCGTTGGGCCTGCTGGGCCTATTCCAACAAAATCCTTAAAAGGAAAAATGCAAGATTAAGACGCCTGTAATAATATAATAAAAAAATGATAATGATAAAACATAACGTCAAACTGACTTGCTGCAATGGATCGAGTACATATTCTTTACCCACAACATTTAAACACCATAACACAAGTCACACGTGAATTGGGAGATTTAAGATGAATGGTTTTGCAAATCGAAGTAACCTTTTGAGCAACTTAACAGCATAATTTGAATCCAGCTTATGAGGGAACAGTACAATCACCAACGATGAAGCTATTGTGGAAATATGTATATATATATATATAAATAGAAATTCATTTATACAAATTTTATATATTATACTTATATAAAACTCTCAATTATTTTTTTTTTATTTTTAATTATTGAGATTTATTCATATTTATTTAAAATAATTATCTTTTTTACTTAAAAAATCATAAAAAATTTTAACTATTAAAAGTAAAAAAATAAATGATCAAAATTTTATATAAATGTAATGCGTAAATTAAAATTTTATATAAATGTGAATAAATTCTTCTTCTATATATATATGAAAAAAATTAAAACATCTTGATATTTTTGTTTAATAGTAATCATATGATGTATTTGATAAAGTTATAAAAAAACTTTAAGGCCAGCTAATGACATATGAATCCAATTCTCTATCCTACTAGATTAAACTTTTGGGTTTGAGGCTAAAGTCCAACACGTACGCATTGTGCGTTTCTTGTGAGCTACCATTGGCCTAGTTTTCTTACAAGAGCTAAGTGGGGGATGCGCGGCGCGCGTGCGCCTGTGGGGCCTAACTAGGTAAACCAGTTTACATAAGATAAAATAAAGATATTGTGGAGTGCAAAAACAACCAATATTTAGGCCAAGAATTTCTGCCCGTCCCATTAGGGATGTCAACGGGCTCCGCGGAGTCGAGGAATCCCTCCCCGTCTCCGTCTCCGTCCCAGTGAATGGTGGGGATGGAAATTCCCGCTGAGATTTTTAACGGGGGGCAAATTTTGCCCCCCATCCCCGTTCCTTGCGGGGAATGGGGATCCCCGTGGGGATCCCCATTTCCCACCAATTAATATAAAAAAATAAATTTTTTACGTATAATTAATTAATATTCAATTATAATAAATAAAAATTTAAAAATTCAAGTATAATTAATTAAAATTCTTTAAATATAAATTATCCAAACATAAATAAAGATCAAT